AGCCAGCATTTATTAAGTAAAGCCAAATATCAGACACTGGGAAGGAAGAAATGGAAAGGTATCTGCAAGTCCTCTGCCTGCATGAGTCAGAGCTTATCTACACAGTACATAGCACCTGACTGCACAGCTAGTTGTCAGCCCCATCTGAACTTGAAACAATCCCTGTCTCCTTTGTTTACAATGTGTCTAGCAATAAATCTGATAGGCACTGTAGCTACCCTATTCCAGGGCCCCAGGCTCTGCCTATTTACCAACTGATTGTTTCGTTGGCTTCTGGTGTTGGCTTGGATTTCAGCCAAAGAAGGCCCAACTACAGTGGAAAACAAAAAAGTCTGGGTAGTCAGGGTGGAGGAGGCTGTCCTCAGCCCACAGCCCTGAAGCAAACAGTCCAGTTTCCTTTGTCCAGCACACCCGCTGGTTTGGATGTTGGTCTGGTTGTGTCAGTAAACAGACCTGCCCGGGTTAGTTTTCCTGATAAGGTCATGTGTGTTCCAAGTTTCCTAGAACCAAAGGGACAGCCATAGAAGAGCTAGGGCCTGACCAATCATAAAACCCCAGGCATCCATTTCCTTTTAAAAAGTACTAAAATATCTTGTTTCTGCTTTGGGAAGAAAAATATTGTCTTGACTCCTCTGAATTATGCGTGAAACTCTTAGGGTTGCTGTTTTAAAAAACAGGGTGACAAATCCTAAGCCAGTGGGGAGAAATCAGAGGCCAGACATGACCCGTCAGCGAGGTATCTGCTCTGCAAACCGGAAAAGACAATGGAGACTTCACTAGAAGGCAGCACTGGCTGATATTTACTATCTCCCTGGAGGATGTTCAGGAGGGAGCAGGTGGGGAATGGCTCTGTAGTCAGAGGAGGCTGCATTTGATCCCGATACTGCCGCCTGCCTGTGCAAGTCATTTTATATCTCCAACCTCGGATTCCCTTATCTGTAAAATGCCAAGCACCATAGACTGAGTGATTTAAACAACAGTTTAGATCTGTGATCAATATGCCGGCAGGGCTGGTTTCTCCCGAGGCCTCTCTCCTTGTCGTCTTGCAGGTACCATCTTCCTCCCTGTGTCCTCATGTCGCCGTCCCTTTGTGTGTGTCTGTGTGCTAATATCCTCTTCTTCTAGGGACACCAGTCATATTGGATGAGGGCCCACACCAATGGTGCCATCTCAACCTACCTGCCTCTTTAAAAACACTGTTTCCAAGAGGGTCGTATTCCTGGATATTGGGGGTCAGGACTTCAACGTATGGATTTTGGGAAGACACAGTTAATTCAGCCTATAACCATGTGGCTAATGCAACTTGTAGAGAATATTCTATTATGCTTATGCTGTGTGAGTATGTATTAGGTATGCACAACAATATATAGTAGGTATTGAGAATTATACCTGATGATCAAATTTCTGTTCTATTTTTAGATGTTTATTGTTTGGACACACACAAAAATTTTGCCTAAGTGCCCATAGCTTAATAAGAATACTTACACTGTGAGACCAAACACAGATGTTCATAAAAGGGCACGTATGTCTAACTTTTTTTAAAGATATAGGAACTTTTTTTAAAGATATAGGAATATTTTAATGTGATTTGGGGGGAGATTATTTCAGGTATGCTTGGGAACAATGACGGCATTCTCAAAAGAAGCGATAACTAGTGAAGGTCAGGAGAGAAAGCTCCTGAACTAAGAAAAAGTAAGATAAATTACTTAGAGGTTGTGATCAAACGGGCTGACCAACCCAAATTCAGTTGCAGTTTGACTGCTTGTTAATTGTGTAATTTCAACCCTCAGTTAGTATCAGCTCCCCTCCCTTGACTAGTGTGGTACCATGCTCCAGAGCTCATACTTCAAATATTATGCTTATGACTTTTGGAAATAATACAATTTTATAAATGGAAAATTAAACAGTTTTGGTTTTTTTCCCAGAGAATCAAGGTACAAAGTAAATGATCAATAAATATTGGATGGATGAGTGGATCAATGGAGAGATGGGTTGATCAATCAGTGGATCAATAGGAAAGCAAAATAAGACAAGAACACACGAGGATGCTCCTCCAAGTCTCACTTGACCTAAACTCTCACCAAATACTGACATGGCTGGTGAAGCCACAGGGGGCCTCAGCCCTCCTTCGCCCCTCATGTGCCACCTCCAGTGTAGGTGCTGTAGAAAAGATGCTATGAACAGTTATATTTCTGTTTCGAAGCTGTATGCAGTGCCTTTTGAGCCCTCCGCCACATAGCTGTGGGACATGGGTTGGCATGGCCACCAGCTCTGGTGAGATTCTCATTTCCTCTCCAAACCTGCTTCTCCATGTAGCAAAAGATGCAGTTTCTCCTGCAGTGAGCATCCAGGGCCACCATAGTGGACATTCCCAGGTTACATCCTGGCAGCGCTGGTCACAGTGCTCTACATCCACGCTGTTCCTCCCAGTTCACATCTTCGTCTTTCGGGTTCAAGGTGAGAAAGGCAGTTTTTCTAGTTTCTCCCAAATTTCTGCTTTAAACCCCCTTGTACTTACTGTGCATATGATTTTCTTCCCTCCTTCTCAAAAGTTCCCTGAGACTGGCCTCTACTTGTCCAATTTTTGTTCCAGGCAATTTCCTTATCCAGTTGATAAAGGCAGTCCTGGCCTTTAAAGAGACTCAGCTATTTCTACTAGGCGAACCGACAGCTGTGCATAACCTTGTTGTGCAGCCAACCTCTAAGAGCCCCAGGGAGCCTGCCTCCTGAAATTCACATTCTTGTAAGTTCCCTGTTCACAATGAGTAGAATGACCCCAGTAACTAATAGGATATTGCAGAAATCACAGATTGTGACTTCTCACTCTTTCTTATGCAGCTAACTACCACACAGAAAGGACGTTCACACAGATGGTGGAGAGGCACGCACAAAGCCCGAAACAGAGGCCTCCTGCCAACAGCGGTCAAGGGAGTAATCCTGAAGTCAATCAAGCCTGCAGGTGACGCAGCTCCAGCTGACATCTTGAGGCAATCTTAGGAGTCAGAACCAAACCCTGACTGCTCCCTACTTCCTAACCACAGAAACTGGGAGATAATAAATATTTGCTGTTTTAAGCCACTAAGTTCTGGGTTAATCTGTTAGGGGACAATGGATAGCTAACACACTCCCCAAATTGCTCAGACCTCAATAGCAGATCATGTCTGTCTTGGACACTCACCTGCATCATCTGATCACCTTCCCCTCACGGCCGCATGCAGGCTTCTTGACTCCTCCTGTTTTTAAGTCTGTCCTCTGGAAACCGATGGATGGATAAGGCTTTTCTGCGGTTGGGGGACATTCAGGGGTACCTCTCCTTCCCCTCACTTCCCCAGTCCCTCACTGTAATCTTTAAGCATCTCCAATCCAGGGAATTGGTCTTTTGGAAACTTGCTTTTTAAGACTGAGTTATCTATCTTTGCCATGCAGAATAAAAATAGACGTATTTTTTACAAACATGATGAAATGATCTGTATGCACGTCCTAACCTTTATATGAAGACATGGCACGACCCTGCTGGCCAAATGTGCTAATTAGGGGTATGGGATTACCCAGATTTTTCTTCACATCCCGTTCTTCTTCTGATGCTGGATAAACTTTTTAAAGGAATGGCCTGATTCATAGGTGCTGCATTTGTTCAAAGAAAACAGAACAGGATTGTGTGGAGAAGGAACTAGGACGTTATTCTTTGTGTCTGAGATGACTGGTCACCAGTAAAGTGGTTGCCTCTGCCAAGATCCTTCCACTCGCACTGATTCTTAACTTATTTTTTCTACACCCAGATGACAGAGAGCATGCCTCTCGCATGACTCTGTGACAGAAGCTCATTTTGGTCACAACATTTTATGCTGATGAGGTAGGTCGTGGCGGTAACTGACAGACGTGGCCTTCTCCCCATTCAGCCCGCCTCCTCCAGGGAAAAACGAAATATGCTCGCTGTGTGTGTTTGTGTGTGCGCGTGCGTGTGCGCACGCGCGCTTCACAAATGACTTGGACATTCTCCCTAACCTCTGAG